GTTGTAACTCCGTCTGTGTCCTTCCGTGGTTAATTGGTTATATTTTCCTCAGGCAAAGTCACAGTAAAATGGAACACTCAGCATATAAGCAGTTAATTTTTCAATTAATAACCACATTTGCTGCAGATTCTGCACAGTTTTAGAGAGATGCTGAATAAATTGTAAACTCATTAAAATACATCTCTATTTCATTTTGAAATGAACTGAAAAGAAACCTGTACATTTCCAAGCTTCCCTTCTATGACAGTGTTCCCACCCATTGCAACTTTTTAATGCGCACACTGCACAGGAGGATGTGCATAGGAAGACGTGTAGAATTCCAGTTGCTAACGGTGTACCACTTTTAGACTGTTGTCCCATAATATTTGGAAAAACGTGGTAAAAGACAGCAAGTACCATGTGAAGTACTCTTGGTCAACTTCGGTTGAGCTGCTGTTAAGTCAGATACAGTAGACCATAAAATTGTTAGGTCACATGGAAGATTAAGTCACTCTCTATTGAGGGATGAAGACACATCCCCACATGTTGCAGGCAGAATATCTTGAAATAGACACACCTCCACTTAAATATAGTCATTCCTTGTTGCAAGCATTCTTGTTTACTGCTTGTGAGGGCTATTTCAGGCATGTCTAAAGCTGTAGTTGTAAGAGTGCATTTTCTGTGTTTTCCACATGGGACCCAAACAAACAACAGTGACCTCAATGTTTTGGTGTCACAGCCTACCCGGGTGGTAATCAATAGCTGTTTCATAAAACCCTGTGCATAGATTCTGCTCTTTAGGAGATCTGACCCTGTTCATTTCAGTGAAAAACCTATGCTTGGTTACTACTGTCATATTTGAAGTTTTAGGGTTTCTACTCTCAGTATATTTGTTCAAGAGCCTGTTAAAGTCAGAACCGTCCACTGTAGTCGATTTCCCAAGTACAGTTTGTCTACTGCTTTACTTCCAATTTAACATGCAAGCCACTTGTGCATTCATAACTATTTGTCTCGATAATTAGAGAAAGGTGCGTGCTCCATTCATTTGCACATTGCGTCCTGGTTCAAAACATCGCACTAAAGTACTCTAGAGTACTTTGGTTGCTGTGGGTATAGAGCTTCTCAGGACCACAGCATAGTCTCTTTGTGCACTGCTCTTTTAAACTTGTGCAGGTGCTTTGTCAAATAATAAGGCTAAAAAAGGCCATGTGATAAGCTCTTGGCCAACCAAGAAACAGTTTCTGTACACAAAGTGTATTAAACTTGTATATACTAGCACTTGGGTACTATTGCTGATACTACAAACTAACGTGTGGGTGGTGGTATTTGATCTTTTATAGAAGTAAAGTCTTGGAAACACCTCAGTAGTGGCAGAGGTTGAGGATGAAAATCTCCCCCCCCAAAAAAAAGATCAGAAAAGAATGCTCAAAAGCCAGTATAATTGTAGTTGTGCTTTAATATTTGACTGCAGAAACTTTCCCAAATTGACTGTCGACACGAGGGTGCACATGCACTCCATGCAAACTCCTTAACAGCCCCCACTCCCTCTCCCCATGGTGTGAAATAATGACCCCCCCCCCACACGGGTGAGATTTGTCAGATCTCCAGGTTTCGGAATTTTATCATCAATGTTTTTGTGATGTCAGGATTTTTCAAACTATCTGGTTTTAAAATCTGGAATATTCCAAGTTAACACAAAACACAAGTAATGGGTATGTTATGGGGGTGCCCTTAGGCTAACACAAATGTATACCATAGATCCAAACTGCTGCGGGGTCCTCAAAACTTCTGGTAGTTGCTTCGTAGATTTTTAATTTTCACTGATCTCACCCCAGCGTGTGACCTCATCAGGCTGGTTTCAGGAGCTTATGGAGGCGCAGTGTGGAAATGGCTGAGTGGTGATCTTGTTTATAGTCTATGTAATAGGGACTGGGGGTCAACTCAAGAGGGAAAAAAACAAAAACTGGTCAGTTGTGAAGTATCAGGGAAGAAACCAGTCAAGCTAAACAAACGGGGACAGATGACTAAGGGAAAATTGGAAAACAATGAGAATGGGGATCAACTCAAGAGGGGAAAAACTGGTCAAGATGGAAAGCAGGCTGACATTCTTTGATTCAAATGATCTCCAGAGGAGGGAAGCCACTAACATTCTGTTTGTGCTTTTGGCTTTGACTAGGAATTAATTTTTTTAAACTTACACAAACAGGCTGGGAACCAAAATGCGCAGCACACCTATTTTTTTTGCTCTTGTCAACTTAATTGGTCAGAAAATGTCACTGTTGTTTCACAACGTAGTAATTCAGATGTTATGCACACCAATTACTGCGACTGTAGTCTTGGTCAGTTGTGAAGTATCAGGAGAGAAACTAGTCAAGCTAAACAAACAGGGACGGATGACTAAGGGAAAATTGGAAAACACTCAAGATAGGGCAAAACACGTCATCTTTCGGCTGAAAGCATGCTGTTTGTTGTGCCTTTTGCAGAAAGTAAAATTTCATTTAGATAAAAACTTCAAAGTCAAAGAGTAGAAATCAGGCAAAAGTTGGAATCAGAAGCAAATTGGTAATGGTAAAAAGCATCATCCTTATCAACTGAGGGTGCCATGGTTATCAGTACTACTGGGGTCTGAAATGGCAGGTCGCCATTTTTCTTCAGTGCTCTTTGGAAAGTTTGTATCTTTTGATATGTATTTGTCACACACTTGTAAAAAGTGTACATTTTGAAGTTTCCATTCTTGGAAGGTTGTTTTTCAAATGCTTGTGTCTTGGATAGCAGAAGAATGATCTGGAAACAGCACTGCGTTTTAAAGTTTGCAACATGTTGTTTGGTAGGGATATTCACAGTGGATATTTCCTGAGAGGCCATATCAGATTTCTATTTTCAGTCCAGAGAGCTTTTCCAATATTTACCACTTATGTGCCCAAACAGTCGTCAGACATTCATTTACGTTTTTGAGAGTAATCTGTCGGCATGTGAGAATTGATTGGTGTTATATGTCGTGCATGGGTTTTGCCTTTTTGGGGGAGGGGCAAGAGAATATGGGAGGCGGCAAAGCACTCAACTAAAATCTGATGAACCATTAACAGTTGGAGGGGGTAAACTTTAGGATTATTCAAATAAATTGGTGATTTCATCCTCTGTCTCTCTTTTTTCATTTCTTTTTTGCCACCTTTTCCCCCTTTTTATTGTTCCTTTTTATGAGGGAGAGGGGTGAGGGAACCAGCACCCCTACATGGTGTGGGGTTTTTGTTTATTTCCATAGTGCTCAGACTTTCTGTAGTTTCCAAATGCAAAACCTTTGTTTTTTCTGGTTTCAACCTTACAGGAATAGCATAGACCAGTCAGTCACCGCAAGTGGTATGAGCCCTGCCACCTCCTGGGATGGGGACTCACAATCATCAGATGATGATGACAGCTCGCAGACAGCACTGGAAGATGCTATCTTTAATCCCCGGGTAAGCCAATCACCAATCAAGGCCTTCCGACCAATCAGCAAGCAGCCCATGAGCTTGATTGACTTCAAGAACCAGTTCAACAGCAGTGGGGACACCAAGTGGACTGGCATCGCCGCCAGCTCTGCAAGGGGGAAAAGTGTGAGGCGTGGGCGTGGGAGAGGAGGCAGAGGGGGGAAAATGAAACAAAGCAAGAAACGCCGAAGGTTTCTGAAAAAGTAATGTTTGAATTACTTTTGAAAGTCCACTCTAAAATGAGTAGACATTTGCATATAACAAGGATTGTCTGTACAGTTCAAATCTTTTTACATTGGTGAAACTGACGGAAGTACAATCCCACTATAATTTGAAATATATGTGTGCTTTCCCCAACATTGAAAATTTCATTTTCCTGGACACTGTTTGCAGAGCCTCATGTTTGTTTATTTGTGTGTGTGGGGTGAAAATCAACCTGTTTGTTTATTGTGAATTCAGGCCCTAACTGATAATCGATATTATAACATGTAGCAAACATTTTGCACCCTAAATAATCTGATGAAACAGTTCTGTACACTTCTTATGTGTTGAAGTTACAGAGGCCTCGTGAAAATTGTGAAAAAATCTTCAGATGAGTAATCACAGATCAAGATTTCCAGTCACAGATCTTCACTTGCTGTTGTAGATGTGTGTAAATTTGGACTTCAGTTGAGTTCATAATGGCAGTTGTTGCTCTTCAAGTATTGTTTTTCTTGTAGTTATGTATGCAGTACTCTGTACTTGCAAAGACATATACTGGTATATGACATTACCGATGGAATTTTAAAAAAGCAGTTGCCCAAAAGAACAGGTCAGCGACATATTTTACCCCCAAATCATTTTTCTTTTTGAGGGGAAAAACAAGATGCTGACTATATTCAGGTTTACATAATTATGCTGAACTCTTACATGATGACAGTATTTAGTTTGACAATTTTTAAATGGATTTATGATTATGGACCAGTCTTTATGCATGTTGTTCTATTTATCAAAAATGCCAAATAAATGGAATAGTTTGCAGGAGTAACGCGTATTACGTTCATCTGTGTGATCTGGAGAGTGTAAACGCCTTCAACCGTGGACCTTTAACAATAGGGGACAGTAGGGTCCACGGTTGGAAAACGTGATGTACAAAACATTTGGGAGGTCTTCCGAAAAAGTATGGACAATCGATCGTGCGCATCGATCTCGTGTGGCAGGCTTTTTTCTACGCTGAAGAAGGGGGACTTTTCTGCCAATGACTTTTCTGCCAATTATTGAGTTTGGAATTGGGCTTGTACTTTCCTGGCTTTATGTGTGTGCCCTGGGTTCACATCCATAGGCTACCGAGTCGACCAGGCGCAGGGCTACGGTTTTGTTTGCCCGGTGCAAAGTAGCATTTTTCATTCCGGTGTGACCCATTTTGAAGATTTTAATTAGCATCCCCATGTTTGTTTAAAATGCTCGCCCCGTTGTGATACAAGTATGCTGCGCTACTGTGCTGCGCGATTGAAGTGGATTGAGCTTTCACCCCCTGCCTTTATTCGGTAGGCTTTTTCCAGGGGGGTATTATTTCGGGATTTTTCTCCCACCACTTCTCGACCACGTTCATCATCCTCTTCCTCTGTGGGGACGTGTGGTTTAGTGCATAGGGTTTGTAGCTCCCAAACATTGTTCAGGAACGTTCAGACTGGTCCGATATGAGTAGAAATGGTGAATTGAGGGTGTATTTAAATGGCAGATTCTGTTAAATTATGTACGCCTGACAGTGCTGCTTCTTAAAGTACACGCGTTTAACGTTTCGTGGGGCTTCGACTTCGCTCCCGAACGTGCACTGCAAAGTTTTTCAATTTTTGCCGTGAAATTTTATAAATATTATGAATGTAATTACGTATTTTGAAAACAAAATTATTCTGTTTTGGCGAACTTCCCAATTTGTTTTTCAATGTTTAATTAAAAGTCGAGACCAGTCTCAGAAATGGGCTTTCTCAAGCAACTTGTAGGCCTACTTCAGTCCCGCGAGCCAATGCTATGCACATGCAATTGTTACACGTTCATTGTTTTCGGGCGTGGACGCGGAGCATCGCACTGATTCTGCTCATTGTAGCGGACTCTTATTAGTCGGGGAGGGGGTACTCGTTTGTTGTTTGAAATAGCATAGAGGAAGGACACGTACAGACGGAGTTTGAACTGCCCGGGCTATAGCCAATTACAGCTTTCTGGCATGATTGGTATCTCCATAGCCAGAAGTCAGCAGTAAATGTTTGCTACACACCACCTGTTTCACAACCACAAGCCCATTTTGTACCCCAAAATCATTACTGCAATTTTCCGCTGGTAATCTGTATCCTTAAAACGTTGTGTACTGCAGTATAGGAAGTCGAATATTCATGCCATCGATGGTGCTTGGTATATGATCTGACCACAACATCCAATTTAATGCTTGCGCAATTGCTTGTATTAGGCTGTGTGCCCTAAGTATTCATTTGCAGTCATTGCCCTTGTCGGACGCTTTCTTTGGGAGTTTTTTTTTTGAATAAAAAGCCAAGTTCTTTTATAAGATACTGTGTTTTATTTGAATCATTGTTATTACGGAATTTATACAAAATGATATTTTATGAGATCTCATGATCACTCCTTGTAATGTAATAGCGCATTTTGTTTTTATGAACTTTATTGTCTTGTGGGGGTCAACATGTTGTTTGCCAGTGTTAGCCAAATTCGTACAAAGACTTTGAAAACTGACGTTTTGGAGTGACGAAATAAAATTACAAACATTGCATGGATTAAGGAAAAGTGCATCAAAATCTTTACAAAAAATATTCACGATGGCAAAAGTAAATTTAATATTAAATATTTTTTTCTTTGTATCTCCTGGTTGTAAGAAGACGGTGTGACTCCAGGAATAGCGTTCAGTTTGTGTGGTTTATTAATGGCTTGTGCTCAAGTGTTCCTACAGGGATACGGTAGCCGCATAATGCCACTCCACAACATCCCCTTTCCTTAAGATAAAGAGCTGTTGGTTTTAACTTTCGAGCCAAAAAAGCTATGGCTTTAAGCATTGTTCCAGAAACCTTTCAGTGCTTTGAATCTTCAAAACAGCTGTGTGCATTTTTTTCTCTTTTTTTGGCCAAAAAATATGAAGCCAAGCAAACAAGCTTTAAAAGGTGGTTTAGGTTTGCATATTACAACCAGGTGGGGACCCTAGAGACAGATTTAGGACTCGATAAGTCTCCTTGGTGGCTTAGAAACTCGACCGGATCGAGTGAAAGTGATTTTTTAGTTCAGTCCTGGCGGATTGTCTGTTGGGTTGGAAGGTGCTTCCTGCATCTTTGCGACTGCATTTTCCTTTATTGGGTTTGCCGACACGGTCGTTGGTGGTGTGAGCTCAGGTGCACTCACACAGGCGGCTGGTGTTGTGGGTGATTTTGGATGCTCCCGGCTGTCTCTGAGATGTATGCAGTTACGTCTGTAGGATTTGCCACCGACGTCAACGATGTAGCTACGTGGAGCGACCTTCGCTTTGATCACTTCAGGTGTCCACGGCGATCCATCAACTTTTGGTGGTGTCTTAGTGCGAACCGGCTGGCCGACGACAAGATCCGGTAGACATTTGGCTGTGCGGTCGTAGTACAGCTTAGCTGTCTGTCTTTTGGTGATGACTTGCTCCGCGACAGCTTCCACAACCTGGGGTGTGTACAAGGTGTTCTTGCAAGGGAGGAAACAACGTGTTCATGTGGACATTAGGCCCTGTACTGGGGAGCTGGACATTCCTAATGTACAGGTGTTCCTCCATTCCAGAACCCTTGAAACACACGCCTTGCATAATTCACCTTTAACCTGTTTGTCCCACGCAACCTCCACCGTCTTGGGAGGTATCACTGTTGCAGAGGTTATTTCCTTGGCAATTTTACCGTTTGACTTTTGTGTGTCATAAATGAAGTTTAAAATGTCTCTGAGCAAAGTTTCCAAAAAGGGAAATGATAATTACACTGATTATAACAGACATTCTCTAAATTCCAGTTAATATCGACATGTTAAATGAAAACCCGAATACGATGATGTTTACAAGAAGCAAACAATATTGAATGTTCGTTAAGCCACATCGACGTGTTTAATTTGGTTGCGCAGACAGTGCACGTATACGTCAGAAGGTGGTTTGTATGGTTTCTTCATGTACGACTTCCTTACATACGATCAACCAGTGACGAGCCTTTATAAGTTGAGATTCTGCAACGCATTCTGCATTCCCTTGGTTCGTCCTAAAGCTGATTCCAAGTAGTTGAAGTTAGCACTCTTGCTTAAGTTTGAAACTTGAAAACACACCTGGTTCCCTAGAGCTGGTATGCAGACGTGGAGATACAACCTCCCCATCACACGGGAGACAGTGCCGGAGTTCACTGTCCCTGATACGCGGTACTTCAGACGGTCGTACACCGTGGATGCGCGTCCCAAAGTTTCTCCTCAAAGCGCCTCGAGTCCGATGTTGTGGCCCTCCTCCAGTCCGCCGCGTCTTCACACCAAAATAAAGGCTCAATCTCTCCCAGTGCATGATACGGGAACTGGAAGGGCTGGAAGACTGATTTGTGGGTCGCGCGGCAGTTCTTTCTTGGCCGATTCACCTCTGCCCCTGTCTCCGGTAATCCGACCTCGTGAGCGGACCACTGGAAGTAACAACTGGCTGAATACTTCAATGAAGAGCCCGACGCCCATGACACAGCGTCACTCCTCCGACGATAGTGTCGCGTCTCTAAGGTCCTTGTTCGGGTCTGTCGCGGAACGCGTCAAGGGAATGCTCCCTGCAGTACCGGCAGAGTCTACGATTATGTCATGGTGGGAGACTTTGCCCAGTGTGTCCAGATCTCACCTTTGGCCAAGCTTTAATGGGCTCAGCTCTGGGACGGCCTCCCGTTCGTCGATGTTGCGTCTTGAGCTGGAGAATAGGTACGGTTTAGACAAAAGTCGATCCAAAAGTGGATTCTGTTCGTCGGCACCAAATAGAGAATCAGCAACCACGAGCAGGCCGCGCACCAAATCGGACGGCGGCATAGTGCCTCGACAAAGAAAGTTATTTCTCCCCAATTTGACCACCCCGCTTGAAGAACTGGACGATCGAGTGGAGGACGTTGGCAAAGAAACAAACCCAGAAGACTCTATCATGGTATCAGTAACTTATAAAACGAACGAGAAAAAACTTATGGTTCAAGTCCATAGTCTGACCTGCGTTCATCCCAAGAGTGGTCGCGCGAGCGACCTGGTGGTTGAACTTACTATGTACCCCGACAGGCAGCGTCGCGTCTTGAGCGCTCCTTCAAAAAACTCCACTGGTGAAACTCTCCTCGTGACAGCAGATTTTGATGGAGTGAAGTCGGTCAGTCTGGCTTCCCGAAGCCTAATGATCAGGGTTTACTCCAAGGGATTGATTCGCAAAATAGGACGGCTGCTCTATCAGGCATCTATTTCGTTCTGTGAGATGTCGCTCGCTGGAGATGCCGTTTGGGTTCCCTTGAAACCCCTAAAGGTTTGTTTCATTATACCATGAATTCCAGAAAGTATCATGATAACTCTTTCTCCCCCTGTATTCTCCTAATATTCATCCATGTACACGTATATAAATAAATATCTTCAAACGAAAATAACTCTTGTTTATCCTTTTTTGTCATTTCAAATTGCACGTGTTTGACGGATAAAATGAGTAATGTTTCATCTAACCGTACTTTCAGTTCTCAATCCCGATAAGCAGGCTTAATGATTTTTTTTCTGATCTTTCCAGGCGGTACCGTCCGTGACGGTATGCTTGTGCTACCGGCCTCACAAGAACAAATTCTTAGTCACTGTGGTCAAGGCAAAAGACCTGAAGAAGTCCACAGTAAGAAAAGGTATGAATCCTCGAGTACAGTTCCACCGTGCGCAATACCCCCACGCTGCAATGAAGCTATAGAGTACATGACAATCTACCCCACAGTTTGCCTTGAATTCCTGTCACAGCTTTCCTTTCTGCGTATTGACCATACCATACTAATTGAGAACTCCCTGGAGCGAGTGTTTTCTCCGTTTTGAACAAGCCTGAATTATCCAGGACCTCCAGTGGGTACCACGAGGCTTTCCACGTATTTTGTTGCCTGTTACATGTACAGATCGCATGACGCACAAATTAGTTTGACTGTTTTTTAAACTGCACTGAGAATGAAAAAAGCCACACCAGTTCGATGCCGAGTTAAGAGAAAGAGATGTTGATTTGTTTACATTGAAAGGGATTTTTTGTGAGAGTTTATTTTGCAATCAAGATTCATGTAGTAAACCAAACAAATTTGTTATCCCCAGATACAGTAAATGTGCTGAGATGTCAGTTGTGAAAACCCTTTTCGTCTTGTTCTTGACCTCTCAGACTCGTACGTTGAGGTGAATCTTTTCCGAGGCATTGGCGATAAAGCAAGAATGCAGACAGTCCGCACAAAGTCCTACTTCGGCGGCCGGAACCCGGTCTACAAGGAAGCATTCTCCTTTGAGCTCCCTAGCAGGGGCTTGGCCTCCGTCTACACCGAGCTGTCGTTTACTGTGCGTCGTCATAACCTTGTAAGGACCGACGAGGTTCTGGGCCGGGTGACTCTTTCCAGCGAGATGCTCCTCAGGTGGAAGAAGTCTCAGTCTTTGGCCGGTACACTGGACGAGGCTTTTAGGTATCCAGGGAAAGTCATCACTCAGACCCATTTTATTACCAACCACAAAAAGCCACGTCACCATGGGTTGTCAGAGCGAAGTTGACTGCATAATAATATCAGTCTTATAAATCAAGTTTAGACGTGAAGACGAAGTGCTGAATTATTACTAGATAATTCTTTACTTGTATATCATTTTTTAACGTGGTCTTTGTCACTCTTACACTAAGCTGTGGAATTCCATATCTGCCGTCGCCCGTCGTCCGTCGCATTTTCCTTTTTGTTGTGTCCCAATTCTGCCCGATTTACCAGTTCCAAACATGCCATTTCCGTCGTGCGTCGCCCGTCGTGCGTCGCCCATCAAATGGGTTGCATAGGACCTGCAAAAGCCGATGCAAAAGACGACGGACGACGCACGACGAGCGACGGCAGATATGGAATTCCATACTAAGCACCACATCAAAGCATTTTTAAGTATAATTATAATAATCGGACGAGTATCAGAGGTGAAATTTCTGGGGTTATCTGGAGGTGGAGATACACTGATGTTTTTTCCAACGGGGAATTAACAACTTACGAACAGCTTACGAACTGTCACAGCGGCTTGGTCAATAAAGGCTGCTTGGATTTCCAAATTTAAAAACCTAAACGGGTAGAACGGAAACTGCACGGACTACCGGGGAGTGGGTGGAAACGTTCCCTGGTGCCTGCCGTTGTTATGCAACTATTTAATTGCAATTTTGTGGCACATTTATTTCGTTCAATAAATAGTGATCATTGTCACCACAACAATATGTTTGGCCGCTCCTTATGCCTGCTGCTGATGTATCAGATCAAGGAAGTTTACGTTTAAACAAAACCTTCAAGACATCTCAATAAAGGATTAGATAGATCGTCAGCATTATATTGAGAGCACCTCTTGGTTAATCTGTTTTTTTATTTGTCTGGGTAAGACCGTTCAAANAAGGCAAGTACAAATCCCACCTGCAGTACTAGTCCCATGATTAATGCCAATAATGCTAGACTACCCCTGCCCCTTGACAAGAAAATGTCGCCTTTCTGAGAATTCAACCAAGTGGTTTTTAGAGAAAAACATTTTGAGCAAAAATGTTCAGGCCAACTTATCCACAGTCTAATTCTAATTTGCATACTGTAAAAACGTGCTGACTTGTTTTCATCAAATTCTAGAAAGAAATCTGCCAACCGATACAGATATTCCATTTTGTCCTCTCAATTTCACCTTGAAATACAGAAATACTAGACAGTGCCGTGGATAACAAATTGTTTATTAAATATATTTGTTAGGGGCAATTACCACTTGGTTTAAGTTTCAGAAAACGTGACATGTTGGTTTTTGTGGGTGTGTATGCCATGGTGGATAGACCAATGAGAACAGGTTGTCCAGCATATCCGCATTCTTTATGGGGCTAACAAGTAACGTTACTGTTTAAAAGACTTCTGTGAGCCTACCTGCAACTATTTTGGAGTATACAGCAAATTTCATCATAGGTATACCCGCCCTCAAAATAATGTTGAATCAGTTCGTCTCTTATGAAAACTATTAAGGAATCAAACATTGTAAATAATGTATTATTTACATTCCGTTCTGTGGGATATCGTGCAGGGACAGACAGAAATATTACATAGGCAATAGACATGAAGTCAGGCTGTTAACTAGTAAAGGTACGTCTAGAGTAACTAAGTTATCGAGAAAAACAATCTACCCTAACAAAAGTCTATTTTGTTAATTTATTTATGTAACAAAAATGGTGTTATTTCATATACACGTTACTTAACCGATGTCAGGATATTATTTCTTCTTTCCAGTGGAGTTCGGCGCAACTGCAAAAACGAATACATGTACATCTTCTAGTTCTATTGCTAAAATGAGAGTCAGGCATGGTGGATCGATCGAACAAGGATATGTACATGTGAAACGACCAAGGGTCTAAGTTAAAAATACCTTTGCACAATCGTGACAAAAAACCACGGACGACGCACGACGGACGACGCACGACGGATGACAGGCGACGGCAGATATGGAATTACATACTAAGCACTATATCAAAGCATTTTTGAGTATAATTATAATAATCAGACGAGTATCAGAGGTGAAATTTCTGGGAGTGGAGATACACTGCTGTTTTTTTTTCACGGGGGGAATTAACAACTTACGAACAGCTTACGAACTGTCACAGCGGCTTGGTCAATAAAGGCTGCTTGGATTTCCAAATTTAAAAACCTAAATGGGTAGAACGGGAACTGCACGGACTACCAGGGGATGGGTGGAAACGTGCCCCGGTGCCTGCTGTTGTTATGCGACTGTTTAATTGCAATTTTGTAGCACATTTATTTCGTTCAATAAATAATGATCATTGTCACCACAACAATATGTTTGGCCGCTCCTTATGCCTGCTGCCGATGTATCAGATCAAGGAAGTTTACGGTTAAACAAAACCTTCAAGACATCTCAATAAAGGATTAGATAGATCGTCAGCAATATATTGAGAGCACCTCTTGGTTAATCTGTTTTTTATTTATCTGGGTAAGACCGTTTTAANCTTTGCCTCAAACCACAATCAAAACCCCTTTCTACTAAAAGCTGGTGCGAGGACTCATCACGTATGTAATATAAAATAACTGCATATACCGGTATTCCCGTCAGCTGTCACTTGTCACTAAATCATTCCTTCTATTCAACGTAACTTCATTCGACTTGACTGGGTTCCAAACCCATTTCATATATCTCATTCCCAGTAAATAAGGAGGAAAATAATGTAGGGACGTAAACCAGTCTACTATTGCACGATACCACCACGGATGGTTCGTGGGTTGGAGCGTGGCGTTTAGTCTTGGCCCAAGACGTCAGTGATCGTTGTTTTATTTCTGTTGAATAGCGCCCTCGCACAACTAGTTTCTACTTGTACTCTCACTAACGTCTTGGGAATCTTGCAGGAATGGGGGTGCGGCAGTTGTATGCAAATGACCGATCTTCTTAAATATTTATAGCTTCCGGTTATCAAAGACGCTGCGTCTGTTTATTGTAGCGTCGGCACCGACTGGCCGGCAGAGGGCACCAGCATGGAACCACGATGGAACCGTGCAAAGGAGCTCTGCTGGTTGACCCCCGCCCGGATACCCGTAGCCTGCGGCGCCGGCGCAGTACTGAGCTTTGTTTTCTTGTTTTGGGCGGCGTTGCCAAGGACATAACAGTTCGTGTTTGGAAACTATGGAAGGGCTGGTAGCACTGTGATCAGAATATCGACAAGAATATAATATCAAATCAGTGCTCTGAAATATGTGATTGCCGAGCTTTCGGTAACTGAGTATCTTCTTCAGGGCAAGCAGATTCAGTTCTGAATGAACGCGGAAAAATCCACGTTCATTCCCTCTGGATGCAGCGTTCCAAGTTCGAAAATGACGCGCTGCTCAAATTCCTTACGCTGTACACCAGATGATGCTTTCCGCGTAATTTCGACGCTTACGTCACCGAGGGTATGTGGCGGCGCGCAAAAGTGCTGCGCAACAGTGAGACCAGGTGTTTGTTGGCGTACACTGCGCAAGTGTTCCGCGAAGCGGTCACCAAGGCGACGCTTGGCCTCTCCGATGTACAGAGAAATATGGAAGGGCTGTAGCACCGTGATCAAAATACAGTTTACCACAGCGACGACATGTAATACAATAAACCACATTACTGGTAATGCATGTATGATCCCCGCGCATTCTGTAGCTACCGGTGGGGCCGACGACCGACGGGCTGTTAACTATGTAGGGGCAGGTGTTACATCTGGGGCGCTGACAAGGGGAATTGCTGCCTGCTTTTGACGGCGAGACGGAATCCAACCGGGAACGTACAATCATGTCTCCGACAGAACGATCACGCCTAAACGCACAAATCGGGGGTTCGGCAAATAAATGGAAGCTGTGGCCGCATCATTTCCGAGTGTACGAAAATGTTTAAAAAGAATGTTACGTACAGGATGTTTTGAGGGTGGTATGTGAGTACGAGTGGGACGCGATCACGTTGCTTGGCCCCCCGGTGGGTTTCACAGCCGTTTCGCGCGGGATTGAAGATACGGCGTTGAAGGCAGCGTCATTATGCCTTCAGTATCGCTGAGGATAATCAAAATGACAGAAACTTAATTTAACTAACTGAAAGACAACAGTTTTATGGAGGCGTGTCGTTTTAGGCATATCTGAACTATGTCAATGCATAACCGTTACCCGGCTGCCTGGTTTGAAAATAAATGGAGCAGTTGAAGTTTGGGGGCAGTTGTTGAATTAGGAACACTAGCCTATGCAGGAGTATAGGATTCTACTGAAGTACATGTACTGACCTTTTCGGAAGATCGACATCTTTAGGGTTTTCTCAGACACCACAGTGACCATCAATATATTCTTGTGGGTCAAGTAGGACATACACACAGTTATTATCCCCGCTAACTGTAAAATTGAAATGCTTGAATGCTTGATTTCAATACACTGGGGTTATGTCATTTCGTTAAAAGTGGAGTTGTTCAATGAAACATGGCCAACCTGTCCTAAAATTCCCTGAGTTAATCAAAGAAAACATGTTTGATAGTCCATAAAGGCAGGCGAAGGCAAGCCTTTTCTGGAAGTATGATTTACTCTGTACGTCTTAATATTTCACAAAGTCATTTTGCACTTTTTAAAAAATATTACAGCAGACTTCAAGATGCCGTTAATAGGAGGAAGGAAGGTCCAAAACAAAAGACATTTACCAACCTTTTCATAATTGGTTGTTTTTAGTGGAACCCACGTGGCATGCTCTGTAATCGGCAGCTCCTAAAGACATGTACAGACTTGTTTTAAAAGCAATCTAGATTTGTGAATCAACCCCTTGGTGTACACACCTATTTCTAGATTTCCGGATGTCAAGTACCTCACTCCTTCGAATACTATCGTCTTGGGCTGAGTTTTTTTTAGTCTTTTGACGTTGCACCCAAAACGCGAAGCTGCTTTCTGCCCTTCACTCGGGTCAGTGTTGCCGCACATACCAGGCCTCGAGTGCGACAAGGGTTGGCGCTGGTCAAATCGTGGACTTGAACCGTCAGTTTCTTGTCGTGGGACTTGTACGATGCCAAGACCTTAACGAACGGTCATCCGGGTTTGCTTCTTCCGCGACTGCTCCATTAGGATGGCCCAGTCTGCCACCCACTTTGCAAAATCTGAGGGATCCTCATCTGTGATTGTTTGGATGTGTCTGGCTCTAGCAGTAGCACCGACAAATCGGGGTTCATTTTGGGGAGGGCATGGTGACATTCAAAGTGGCAGTGCTTCTCTAATGTATAAGCGAGAGAGTGCTGCAAACGAAGTAAGTGGGCTGTTGCCTGAGGAACAAAGAGGGGTCAGGAAAAGACGAGGAAACATATCCTCTCCCGGAGGCTGCCTGATTCTTGATAAGGGAACGCATTCTTCGGTACGAGAAATTCTCGATTGGGTCTGTTGCTGCGTACGGTATCGTCGGAACACACCCTGAGAGATCCAGACTGTTCAGAGCAGCTTCTGGTATTGGGAGAGTGAAGTCAGGCACGTTTGCTGGTGCAATAGTTACATGCAGGCCTACGTAAATGCTGCTTTGGCGCCTCCCTCACCAGTGCCCGCGGGAAGAGACATTTTCACTGCCCCTCGAAATGGCAGGATGGAGATTATCGTATTCTTCTAGTATGCTATAGCCGTATACTAGGCAACTTTACTTTTGAGCTAAATCTTGATTGGTGATTCCTTTTTGAACTAGCCACGGCGCACACATAAATCATAATTTGAGTCGCCTTCTATTAAGTCCGAAAAAACACCTTTTGCGCCTAATGATCACTCGGTCACTCACGCAGAATAACAGTATGAAGTCCAAAGTAGCCAGGTCCTTCTTGAAGAATACTTTTATCTATTTAGATTTAAAAGATTTTTCTTTCCAGGGGCGAGAAATGAAAGGAATGTGACGTCAAAAGAGGAGACCCTGTTGATGAGGCCGTGACGTTGGGGCCATCGCAACAGGCACACTTTCGTTTGATATCCTGAAGCCAGAATTTCTCCTCCATTGCAATTGTCTAGTTATAAGGACAAGGCAATTTTTGTAAAGAATGTTGCATCCCGACTCCACCTCTGTGGTTATGTACAAAGGTTATGGGGAGTCAAGAAAATTTTAGAGGGTGGCTGCAATCAATTTGTACTTATAGAGACCTTTTTATCTCTTAATTCAAAATGCTCCCGTGTGTTTCAAGTGACCTCATTTTCAACTTTTCAACATAGGCATTGTATTCACAGATTCGTTTTGATTAGAACTCAGTCGGAGCACTGAAGCTCCCCTTGCATAGTCCGTCGATGCGCCTGTCCAGGTCGACTTGGCCCTGCCGGATCTCCTCAGCTAGGTTGCCCGAAAAAATGCTTAAAGCCTCTGTGGTGGTAAGAGGCTAAAACACGCTCAGGGTTATGCATCAGTGAATCAGGGGATAACAAGGGTGGATCAATGACGACTTTGCCGGTGGCAATGCTTTGGAGATTTGGAGACTTTGGCCTACACGCACATCGAGACCGCACTGTTGTGTGATGGAGTTATAAACGTTAGGTAGCGTCGGTGGGTTGAACCGCTGGACACGCTGCTGCACGTCACGGTGGACAGCAAGCACCTTTTATCCTCATGAGGTCGACTGATCGAGTAGGCCTACATGTATTGCTTAAATTATCAACTACACAATTAGTGCATTCCACTTCTTACTCCTATCGGCCCTCCTGTGTGTGCAAGCTCATTAATGTTTTGTGATACAACAGAGTTAATTGTAATAAGTGGCTAATTTTTGTACCTCGAGTCGACGGTCATCATAGTGACTCGAGTAGGGTCTTATCATAATTTCAAGTGACTCTAGTCGAGTTGCCAAAAACCTGACTCGAGTCAGACTCGAGTCCTACAACTCTGAGAAAGAGGTGCAATCAGGAAGAACTCTTTTTGTTATACGTGTACAATCTTGTGGCATAACCAAAAGTTGCTCGTTCTCAAAAATACCCGCCAGCTTGTGGGCCTATTTTACATAGCGACGGGCAGCTTCATCAGTAGAGTAAATTTGGGGGATGATTTGCCCGGCCATGGAAATACCGGGGGTTGGGTGAGTTGGCGATATTCATGATACACATCTGCTGATGTAATATGTAGTAAACTCCTAGCCTGCAGAACCTTTATCCGGCGTATTCATGGCTTTTCAAACACTGTTCTTCCTTTTAGGTATTATTAACATGAATTTTGGTTGTTAGATAGGAAGCCCGAAAACATCATGAATATCCACGAAAAGTGTGGGATGATTCGGTGGCGCTAGAGTCCATCCTCTTCCCTTCAACCCCCCCCCCCATTCCCGGGATTTACGCCCATAAGCTGTATTCAGACCTTAGCCCGGAGTACGACCTCTGATGGGGGGGGGGGGGGACGATCTACACTGTGCATGCACTATGCGGCGCAACCAGCTTAACGCGATCTACGTAGCGCAAGAGTTTTACCGACAGATTCGAACTTTGACCTGGGGTAATAGTCCGACATTTACTAGTGACAATCAGACAATGGCAGTCGTTGTCAGGAAGCTGCTGAAGTCACGAGTTTCAGAAGTCCTGGGCCACCTGGCAAGTTCTCCAAATAAAACTGGATGCCCTAGACCGTCACAAATTGCCAGGGCCATGGCAACTAAATCGAAAGTAGACCTAACCGGTGTTTTCCCGCCAATACCCACCCCCTTTGACGAGAAGGAGAACGTAAACTACGATGAAATGTCCAAGAATCTGCAGCGGTGGAACAGCATGCCGTTGCGTGGTAGGCAGACCACCCCCACCTCATGTTATACATGGAATTACACACTGGGCATGCCGCGGGGCAGGAGCCTCAGGCTAGTTATGGTTCCACTCTTCATGCTCATTCATGTTCATGTACTGTGTATTTCCTCCCAAATTCGCTGGTATTCAAGTGCTCTTGGGAAAGAGTTCCCACATGTGGACGACACTCGATGCTAAGGTCATGCCTAGGCTATGGTATGCACAAACCTGTGAGACTTAAGTATTTCAATACTTTGTAAATGACTTCATGGCACTGGAGACTTGATCAAGTTGATGCTAAATTGAGAACAAAGCTATGCACAAGTGATGGGAATTGTTGGCCACAAAGTTGAAATCTAAACAGACCGTATGTACCCTCTTGCATGCTGGCAACGTTGCAAGAAGTTTGGGTGTTTTGAAAATGAAATACATAAACCTTATTGCAAATACTGCATGTGTGATTTTGCGCAACGGTAGAAAGGCATCGTGGGAGGGAAGAAGGGGCAATGTTTGCTCCTTTTCCTTCCCACAATGCCTTTCAACCATTGTGTAAAGTCACCTGTTCAGTATCTGTGATAAGGCTTATGTAAGCCTATACATAATTAGGCCTAGCACAAGGAATGGGAGTTGGACAAAAATTCAAACTCCAAACAGACTTCCATGCAGCTTGCTTTGCAGCTACTCAGATACAGAGTTGGAGCTCACTAACCCCTTCGCGCCGGGACGCGGCTAGAAATGTTGTAAAAATTGAGATCCTCAGCCCGCTTTTCAGCTATTATTCTCGGCCCACACTCGAGCGAACACAGTGAAAGAAGGCAGACCCTGGCTCTTGTATATAGGGTAATTGGCCTTTGTGTGTAGCCCAGAAATGAAAAGACCAAATTTGCATCATAATCACCAGTTAGCTTCACAATAGTCCCCACTTTGAAAAGAGGCAACGGGAATGTGGAAGCGTGAGTAGAGCCGCATGCCACCGAACAATCAGCCTTTTCACCGTGTAATTCAAAGCGTGCAGAGCACGCTGGGCCACAAACCGAGAATTTGCGGTTTGGCAGGTGGCCTTCGTGGCCAAGTGAGGCTGGAATTCTTGGAGTCGGCTTTCAGGAAGGAATTTCTGGCGTGAAAGGGTTAATTTAAGAATGTATTTTCATGTTCATTGTGGGTGGGCAGTCCGCCATGACTAAGTAGGCTGCTATGATATGGGATACTGCAGCATACGTGCCATATGCAGCTCATGTCTTGGCATAATCAACATGTTTTCATACTTCTCTTCAATCAAGGGCTACATTTAGCTATAAAAAATAGATATATAAATTTCTCTGAGCTGCATTGCATGGCTAATGTTTCAGCAAATTCCATCATTTTTCTC